GGGAAGGTTACGGACACAGGCTGTGCTAGCTGAAGTTATTCGTTGTTTTCCTCAGACCGTTCAGGTTTCAAAATAGGCCACGACATCTTCCTCCCACGTGATCTTTAATTCATCGTCCATTCGTTGAATTCATGCCAGCGTCGTTAAATAAACTGAGTTTACAACCACTGTTAATTTAACAGTAGATTACGCGCGTAGGGATTCAATGACTTTGTTAAGTCGGAAGGAATTAATATTAGGTAGACCTATTATTTGTTGTCTTGAGATTACTTAATTTTATAATTATTCAAGTGAACAAAATATTCCACGCGTCTCTAAAACAGAATGTTCGGTAGAGTGTTCACAAAAGCCTTCCATTCGACTCTGCTCAGAGGCTTCTAAATCCTTTCTCCGCGTTATTAAAACCCCGTGTTTCTAAAATCCGTATTAGGAGCCTGAGGAAAATATACGGGCGTAAGAGAGATGATTGACAGAAAGGTGGAGGAGCTTCGTGACATCCGGATTCCGTTCTTCGGATGTTATTAACATTATCAAATCGAGCAGCATGGGGTGAGCGAGACATGTAGAACGCATGGGTGAGATGAGAAATTCGCACAAAATTTCTTTTTGGAAGCCTGAAGGGCAAGGCGCAGGGGGAGGATAATATTAAAATGGATGTTAAGTAAATATGGTTTGAAAGATTGGATTCATCTGGCTCAGGATATGGACAGGTTGTGGGGTTTTGTGAATACGGTGGTGAACCTCAGGGTTTTGTAAAACGGTGGGGAATTTCATGACCAGCTGAGCGACTGTCAGTTCCTGTGGGGACTTAACGTCAGCCCTGCGCTAATTAGACAGGTTTCGAACGAGCGATTGATCGGTTACTCACTGGTGACTGTTGGTTCCGACGGTGCGCTGTCATTGTTGCTGGTGGCGCCAGGGAACGCTGCCTGTGGGATACCTCGTGGCTGGTGTTGGTGCAGAATGTTGAGAGCCAGCTCCTGGCCGGCAGTTGGCGCCACTGGCGGGGCCACCGCGGCGTGAGGTCCGGCCGACGCGTTGTACAGCATCCCGAGCTCCCGGGCCTCGCTCTCCTCCTGGGCCTGTTGGCGCCTCAGCGCGACCTACGGCGAAACAGGGCGAGATATTCCGTCAGCTTTAGACACACACACACACTCTGTCCCCCTTTCCAGCCTCAGTCATCAAGTTGGTGTGTCACTCATCGCCCTGATGATGGAGGCAGTGAGAACCTCCGACATCATCGGTAAAATTCTGCCCCTAGGCTACGCGTCTGTCGACCTGAAATACGATGGACAAACCCTTCCCACATGGTAGTGCCAGAGTATAATTTCGATGAAATGGAAACCTCCGTTTAAAATTACAATATTTTCTCTAAATATCGATTTAATATCAAGTGAACGCCACCTTATTGGGAAGACGAAATTTGCAGAGCTTGTAGCAAGCACGGGGTAGATAAGGAACGCGTACTTGAAAGATCTAAGGATAGGTGGGAAGATAATATTAATATAGATAACAAAGAAAGTCTGTGGATTGTATTTTTGAGTGTCAGGCGCCAGTGTCGGACGCTTTTAAACACGGAAATGTAGCTCTGAGATCTGTAATAGGCGGGGAATTTATTGACTAGCTGCGCGACTGTTAGCTTCTCATGGAGTTAAATTCCACTGTCATGGTTTGCTCTGACCGCAACCAGAATGCTACTGTTCACGAACGCAAATATCGCAGTTGCAAGAAGTGGCTCTTCATGTCTGAAGAAGCTTTTAAAAAGCTTTCACGTACTTAATAGGGCCCTCGTGTTCGTGTTGGGACAACCAGGGCACTAACTGTTTCCAAGTCGACATTTTCGCAAACAAACCCAAGTCCTCTCTTCTGCGTCTGAGGGCTCTCCACTTGTCTCTTCAGGGCGGCGATTACAGTCCCGATGTCACTGCGACCCCGCAGTCACACACGCGTCCTAATTACTGACGTGATTTAACACTTCGCAGTCCCAGGATCGACGCAATAACATTTAAGAATCCAGTCCTTACCGCGAAGAAAACACAGCTCTTCACCATTACGAAGATTAAGCGGTTAACGCTGTTTAAGGAAATAATCGCTGTTTATAATGAGAATTATACGAAACACATAAATACACTGCGTATGCATCTAAATAATATTTAAGAATCCAGTCCGTACCGCGAAGAAAACACAACTCTTCACCATTAGAAAGATCAACTGGTTAACGCTGTTTAAGGAAATAATCGCTGTTTATAATGAGAATCACGCGAAACCCATTGATGAACTGAGTAGGTATCTGAATAATATTTAAGAATTCAGTCCGTACCGCGAAGAAAACACAACTCTTCACCATTAGAAAGATCAACTGGTTAACGCTGTTTAAGGAAATAATCGATGTTTATTCTGAGAATCACACGAAACACATAAATACATTCTGTAGACATAGACAATGCAGTGTTACAGATTATTAAAGCAGGTGGTACATATATTTACCACTGGGGTTTAGAGAGCTTAATTAATAAGTGGCAAAGTTGAACCTGTAGAGTATTTACTTCGATCTGTAATAAATATTGCTATAGATCAGTGGAACTCACATTTAGCGCTTTCCGTGCTACGAACGAGATTTATCGTTCATGTTATGAATTTAAATTATTATTTGTAAGTTACGTCTTCAGTTGCCATGGATACTGTAGGCCTAAAGAAAGTTCTTTTGTGAAACTAATTACTCAGCGAGGTTTCTTGTCCCAAGTAGTAAATTAAGTCAGTGGATTTAATTTCATTATTTAAGACGAGGGTTCGCTAAATTTTCCAGACCTGGGGCCATATTTGTTTATAGCAGGAGTTAAATTTAGGCCTATAAATGCAAAGACTTTGGTGAAACTTCACGGTTGCTTATTACACTTACTGCAAAGTTACTCAGTCACTTCACTGAATAAAATCATTAATCAGAAATATCTGACACTGTTTTCTCTCGAGTGACCTCTCAGCATGAGGCTTAATTTATTCTTCTGATTTAATCTCACGCCTTCTAGCGTTCATCAGTAAAACACATCCCAATTCTTTATTCGACGTTGAGCAGTTTCTGACAAACGCCATCACTTATACAACTTTCCAGCTTTCGGAGTGACACAATATTTCAACTTACCGCGAATTAAGAAAAACTTATTCGGAGTCTCAGATAATAATGTTTAAAGAATGAGCAGGCTTTGCAGAAGTTAATTTATTAACCGCTTAATATAATTGCAGATAATGAATAGGGCAACATCAGACGCTTAATAATAATTAAGTTTCGTAATGTTAATTAATTAATTAATTGGGCAAGGCCGTGGTCTAGGCATCACGGAGTTTTCCTCCGGGGGCTTCCCCGGTTTCTCCGTGGCATCCCATTCACACACACAGAAGAAGGCAATGGCAAACCACTTCTGGATCATCTGCCAAGAACGTATATGAACAGGTCCCAGTCCGAGAAAAGGATGGAAGGATCCTGTTCATATGGACCTGTCGTCAGACAGAA